ATATATATGTATATGTATACGTATATATATGTATATGTATACGTATACGTATATGTGTATACGTATACGTATATGTGTATATGTATATGTGTATATGTATACGTATATATGTATACGTATATATATGTATATGTATACGTATATATATGTATATGTATACGTATACGTATACGTATATGTATACGTATACGTATATGTGTATACGTATACGTATATGTGTATATGTATATGTGTATATGTATACGTATATATGTATATGTGTATACGTATACGTATATATGTATATATGTATACGTATGTATACGTATATATACGTATATATATATGTATACGTATATATACGTATATATATATATATACGTATATATGTATGTATACGTGTATATATGTATGTATACGTGTATATATGTATGTATACGTGTATATATGTATGTATACGTGTATATACATGTATGTGTATATATGTATGTACAGTATATGTATATATGTGTGTATATGTATATATATGTGTATGTGTGTATGTATATATATGTGTATGTGTGTATATGTATATATATGTATATATATATGTATGTGTATATGTGTGTGTATATATATATATATATATATATATATATGTATATGTATATGTATATATATATGTATATGTATATATACACACACACACACCGATCAGTTCTCTAAACCAGTCCATCCATAAATCTGTTAAGAGCCTGGGCACATTAGCAGATGTTAAGTGTAAGAGTGGCACTCACTTGGATCAAAGGTTACTATAACCATTAAATGACAGATAAGGATCGAGACGTGCCGTGTCACGCTCTGTGACTGAGTCTGTGCAAGCTTTGATGTACACATTGTGTGTGTGTGTGTGTGTGTGTGTGTGTGTGTGTGTGTGTGTGTGTAATGTGTTTATGCTGACGGCTAGAGCTGAGCTGTCTGTTGTGGCATATTACTTCATGTTAATCGTACTTAACGACAGTTACCAGTTTGATAAAACGAGCATGTCGTCCGCAGTGGGCCTTCACAGGCCGCGGCTCGTTGACTGTTCACGTGTGCTGTTGGACGCTGGATATACTGGATAAACATTACAACCAAACTCGTCTTCGTTTCCCTGGAGTCATTGAATGATGAACGCTGAAAACGGCACTTCCTGGGGCCAAGCAATCGCTCCCGGCATGCGCTCCAAACACCCACGCCTTGAATGGGCACTGCACTAGTTTGCATTCAATTTCATAAATGAGTTACGTGCACATCTGAGCCAAAGGTCCGGAGGTTAATGAGCTCCGACTGCGAGCATTGGTCAGTAATGAAAGCTGACAATAGCGGCTGAACAGAGTCACACACTACACAACCAAACTCTGTTGGCTGTGAATGAGAGGGAGAAACACCACAAGAGGAGGAGGAGGGCAGTGTGCTCTCTGACCGAAACCTCCTCCTCCATAAAACGTCCCTTTTTATTTGAGTTTCACAAACATCACAAGAACAGGTGCGTTTGTCTTGTAAATCTATGTGAGCGCTGTCTGACGTCCACAGGGTTGAGACTCTCCCACTGTATTACGACAGCAGGAATGATGGCGGCGGGCGAGTTAAATCGATACTGCAGCAGTGCAGAACCCGTTAGTCATGAATGATGGTGTCCCAGAACAGAGCTGAAGTGATGCAGTGAATCCTCATATTGTAAACTTTTGCTTCCCGTGCAGAGCGCTATAAGTCAAGACAGCGACAGTATCTTCTGTTGTCGTCAGCCCGGAGAGATAAAAGAGAGGTTATTACTCGACAAGCTGCCAACTATCATGACCTAGAATCTCTCTCTGCCAGCATAGGCTGATGTCAGTCAGTGAATCACATGTTCCTTCTCTGTCTCACCAGAGCAGGAAAAGACTGATTGTTAGAGCCTGAAACATGAACTGCTAGTGACACAGGCTCAGCTCAATTTCACCCGGGTGCAGTACATTGTCAGTCCTATGGTCCTGTAGTGGCTCTGGTCTGGAATGCACATTGACTGAAGAGCTGTCACGCAGGTCTTAGTTCCCTCAGACTCCCTAGAGAAAGCAGAGCTGTCCTGCTTCACAGCCTCCAACACATAGACACCAGGCAGGGGAAATACCAGCGCGAGACCATTGTTTGAACGTGTATACTCTATCTGCAGATCCTTTTGTAGCTGAGAGCAACAGCTGAACTCTTGACGTGTTTCTCTGCTCCGTCTCCCTCTCTGGACTGCGTGTGCGTTTTCACAAATTACATCGTGGGATATTGTGTTAAGTAACAGGTGGAGCACTGGGAGAGCCACATGGTGAGGGAGAACAGGTACCTTAAAGGAGCAGTGTGTAGGGTTTGGTTGCAGATTGCGACCAACTGAAACTTCTCGTGTGCCAAGCGTGTAGGAGGACTATGGTGTCCGACGTGAAAACGTGAATGGCCGGTGTTTGCTTTGTCTGTTCTGGGCTACTGTAGAAACATGGTGGCCATTTTTGTCAATAGATCCCCTTAAATGCTGCACACTGTTCCTTTTAAATCACTGCCATCTCAACCAGACAGATGATTTTATTTTGGTTCTGTGTTTTTGTTGATGGTGGGCACCCAGCTAACCATTTCCATTTCTTCTGTTGCAGGCTATGGTTGCTTGTTACCCAGGGAATGGAGCGGGTTACGTCCGCCATGTTGACAACCCGAACGGCGACGGACGCTGCATCACATGTATCTACTATCTCAACAAGAACTGGGACGTCAAGGTGCATCATTTATGAGATCAATATTAATTACGTTATAAAAATTATTCATTTAAAAAGAGGGAAAGGGCGTCGTCAAAAAAACAATGTATTTCCAGCGCAGTCAAAAAACACACCTTATGATAGAAGGAAATGTCTGTGTGACTTGTTTGACCGTGTTGTGTGCTTTGTGTATATGTGCCTTTGTAGAAACAAGGAGGGTTGCTGCAGATCTACCCCGAAGGCAAAAATGTGGTCGCCAACATCGAACCTCTGTTTGACCGGCTGCTGATCTTCTGGTCCGACCGCAGGAACCCACATGAAGTCAAGCCAGCCTACGCCACTCGGTCAGTAACTCTTAAGCACGCTGGGCTCTTGTATGTACAATTCATGCACACGCACTCTCATAAAGTTCCGTTATGATTTTGTATTGCATGGGAAGAGACGGGGCACACTGCCAATATTGCCTGTATATAGCTGGCATATTTTAGTACACATGAAAATACAGTTTACACCGAAAACATAAGTAGATTGATTATACATAAACAAGCCCAGCATGTTAAATAGCAGAAGATACGCACACACACACACACACACACACACACACACAGATTGATCGGTGCTTTAGCATGGAGTCCTGCCTCTTCTATCTTCTACTTCTATCAGTGATGCTTATTTTTATAACAATTTTAAATCGGTTAAAAAGTGATTTTAAATATAAATTCTATTTACTCAACAAAATGAGTCAAGCTATTACTTGCACACATACTGTTATTTGCATCGTAGGACCAAGTAGTTGTGTCCATCGAGGGCACATGACACATTCTCTTTGACTCCAGCTTTTCTTCTCCTCCGCTCCATCTGACTGCTGGGGGGCAAGGTGGGGCCGGAGGCAGGAAGTACGTGTTTCCTGTGGGGGGTCGTTAGGAGGGAGAGGGGAGGAAGGAGGAAGGTTCGATTGCAGGACTCGTGCTGGAGAGGCACCGGCATGAGAGACGGGAATAAACAACACAGCTCCACTGGAGAGACTAGAAACTGTAGAAATGAACCCTCTGCTGCCCTGGACACCTGCTGCAGTCTGCTGTTCATTGTTCGACGAAACATTTTTTTAGTAATCCGCTGTCTCTAGCTGGGACGAAGATTACCTTTCAAAGAAATTTTCAAGGGTTTTTTAAAATCACTTCTAAGCTGCATTTAGGTGTGAATATGCAACCCTTACACAGATACAAACCAAATTTAACTGCAAATAAACTTTATTTTTTACTTCATTTTATGGATTTTATTTCTTATGCCACAGCCATTTCATCGACTTTTCTTGGCAGTTGTGCTTTTTAAACATAAGCCCAGTTAATTTTCTACACTTTTTTTTTTCCAACCGGTTATATATTGTTTAGAAAAATGATTAGCTCTTGTCCTGGTGTTAACAAGATCTCTATGTGCTTCTTGTGTTTACAGCTATGCCATCACAGTTTGGTACTTTGATGCCAAAGAGCGAGCTGAAGCTAAAGAGAAGTACAGATTGGGTAAGCTTCAGTCGTAGTTTAATGTCTGTTTCACTTTCTCTCCTTTTATTAAAGCACTCTATCGCCTCTGGTCTTATTTGGTGCATCTTCATATCATAGCCTGTGTGACTAACATGCACTTTCTCTATCGCTTGTGTAGCAACAGGACAGAAAGGTGTTCAAGTGCCTGTCACCCAAAACAGCAGGACATAAATCTCATCTAATCGCTGAAGAGCACTCCGAGAGTATCATGTGCCTTCCTGAACTGCTGATGAACGTCGCGATCAAAGAAGAGAGACACCGTAAAACTGTCACGTGATCGAGCTGCTGATCAAAGACGTTGCAGTTCTAGAGCACAATGGACTGGATTGTGTGACAACAGTGAGATCAGAGTTACGCGTCGTGGCAAAACAATGAACTCAATGAATGAAAACAACAAACTGAAAAAAAACAGAATCCCTCATTTTATTTTTTTTGAAGTTTTTTCTGTTTGGTTATCAGTGATGTTGAGTATTGAGAAAGCATTGTTTTTCAGTTCAAACACAGGGAGCATAAATCATGAATCAGTGAACAGACAGTGTGGGGAAAAAAGGGTGCAAGGAGTTGAAATCAATGGGGTTGTCCCTTTTTATTTCCACTCCGGCGACAATATTACGAACCCTACTATTGTGAAGGCGTGCTGGCCCTACTATGGACTGGGCGGAAGGAATATTTAGTTTTAAGACTCTACTGAAACCCTTTCTTTGATTCAAAAATAGTGCAATGTTGTGTTACATTAAATTCACTGATATTTATTCAATTTTGAATACTTTCTCAATGAATTGTTGGAAATGATTAATGACACACTTTCTGATGACAAAAGTGCTTTCATCATAAAACGGCAAAAATTCAGAAAAATTTAAATGGAAACACAGAATTCGGGGAAAAATAGAACAGAATCTGGGGAAAAACGATTTCAGAGGGGCAACAGATGTTTGAGAGAGAGAGAGAGAGAGAGCGGGGCAAGGAGGGGTGGGGCGAATCAATGCACTGCATGAAGCTCTGCAATGATATAAGATTTGACAGCAGTTAGTAGTCGATACCAATACCATTGAAATTCCACGATTCTTTATTCAATATCGCAGTAAAAACCAGAAGTAAAACAATGAATCCCATGTACTTCAACATTATTACCGTTTGCATCCAGCCTTAAGCACTGACTCGAAACAGGAACGCACTTAAAACTTGCATGAGGAGAACTTTACACTTTACTTAGTGCCATATTGAGTTTAACTGGAGTTCAAGAAGTATTTCTGGACTTTATTACAATACCAGGCTAAGACTAAAAAAATATTTTACAACGGCCTCGAAATGGTAGTGCGGCAAAATTGCTGAATATTCCAGCATGGACGTCTTTTTTTATAGTAGTTGCAATGTTTGAAGCTGATTTTCAAGACTGCACCTAGACTACATAACGGTGGAGTTCGGTCTGTATGACACGGCTCGCACTCACACAGACGAGAGGCTTTCCAGTGATCGGGGTCAAAACAGGGTCTGATGAAACAGTGTGTGCGTGTGTGTTCATTAGCCTCTATGCACATCCAGCTTGACTCTTATCTGTTCTTTACAAGATGGAAACAGTATGTATCAGCAGTCTGGACACTGTCAGACAAACCTGCCCAAACAAAAGAGCATCTTACAGAATAAAGCACAGAGTTAAGCATATACTTATGTGAACTGCAGGGTTAAACTATTGCCTGCTCATGTGTGGGATTGAGTGTTTTTGTGTAAAAAATGTACTTGCACATGTATGTTTAAATTTCCGCTGTCTCAAAGAGGGTGGCAGGTATTGTCTTGGTGTATTCTAGGTTGGTTAACTAGCACTTTATTGTTTGAAATGCCGTGTGTGAATGAATGTAGATTAATGCCTTTATGCTGTGGATTATGTGGTCATTCAAATGCAATAGAAACTAAAACAATGACAACAAATGGAAATTGTTTTCCTATTTTATTCTTTTTTTTTCATTTTGTAGTATTTAATTAAAGCCTGTCTTTTTGTACACACAGAATTTGTTATTGATTTACTGGGAATACTATCTTAGCTGAATCCCAGTTTTAACAGAGAAATGAGACCAAGAGAGCCGCGCCAGACGCATCTTTATGCCTCCGCGCCGACAACAGCCTTCTTCTAGTGGACGTAATATCTCAGGAACAGCTGGAGGGAATGTCTTCCAATTTGAGCTCAAACCTGGACTGATTAGATTTTGGTGGTCAAAGGTCAAGGTCCCTGTGATGTCATGTCAGAACCATTCTTGTGAACGCGATATCTCAGGAACACCTTGAGAGGATTTCTTCAAATTTGGCAAGAATGTCAACTTGCTTTCAAAATAATCATTGACAACCTCTTAAGAAGTCTGTCAGAAGAGTTATCACTTATCCGCTTACAGCAAATTCTAACCATTTCAGTTTCAATCGTTTTCTTACTGTGAAGGAAGGTTTGTCCAATCTTTTGAGTAAGTTACATGCCCACCTAAGCTCCCGACGACGATCCACCTCTTTGCCCATTTTTGGATTAGCCAGAACAACTTCTGGCTAATCCAAAAATGGGCAAAGAGGTGGATCGTCGTCGGGCTTTCTAGTCGACAGGAGCCACCCACTTTGAGCTTTACAAGGGCTCTTCAGACACCTACGAGTGATGTCTGCTGCTACTGTTGTGTTAGCTATAGACTTTCCTCACTAAAATTAGCATGTTTTGCCAGCGGTTTGGAGCTGGGAAGGTAATTCAGCCTAGTAGAAGCAGGATTTAGGAGAGCAGTAGACTGAACCATACAGTAAATCTCCTGGCTGTAAAGCAGAGGCGATGAAATTAGTGCTAAAAACCTCAGACAGAGCTGCAAGTCCCTTAACCTTACGCCACCCGTACACATTACTTATAAGCCTGAAACAATTAACATCAGTCAGTTGAGCAGTTAGTCAGTCAAGAGGAGATTCATTAGCAAAAAATGTTATTAAGAAAAAACTATTAACGTTAATCTTAGGTCGACACTTTGGACTGTGGGGAATAGCAATGGGCAGTTTCACTATCGTATATTTAGAGATTAAACCTGCCACGTGTCACCCTGACCTTCTCAGTTATATCAAGCGACAGTGCAACAATATCATTATTACAGACAACTCTGCTAAAATAAATGGCCCCTCAAAACACACTTTTACTGGCACAGTTGCACAGATGATGTTCATTAGTAGTATACACACATACTGCACAGTGCACAAAGAAACAATGAGTAAATTCCCTCAGGGGAAAATAGACCGGTACTACAGTCCACTTTCTCTCTTAACACACACTTTTGTGTGTGTATTAACAAGCCACACAAGTTCACAGTCTGAAACAAATTGTAAATATAACCTGCAGCTCTCCAAAAACACACTGAGGCAACGCACCTTGTGACTCTGTTGTTTTGGCTGCACTCTTCTGACTTCCTCCTCTACTTTGCACACTCCTGGAGTCTGGCCAGAAATATGAACTACTCAAGATGCTTTGTCATAGTCGAAAGGGAATCCAAACGCCACCTGGGAGGCTAATATGCTTCTGTTCAATGCTAGGTTGTTGTTCCAATACAACGTGGCTATTTGTGTGAGTTGGTTTGTTCAAATACAGTGTAGTCTACATTTTTAGATTCTTAAGTAATAGCTGGGTTTTTTTCTCAATACCTTACTTTGAGAACATATAATGAATTATGTTTTAGTAGTTGTTTTTATTGAACAAAAGGGGCCAAACTTATCTGGGTAAAATCTCAAGTGTGCTGATTAAATATCCTAATGATTATTCCCCTGACTTCTTAGAATATGATTGTCTTTCCTGCTTTGTCTTTTATATAAACAGCGAGGTCAGCATTGTATGAAACCATGGCTGCTGTTCTGTTATTGCACAGATTGTTTAGTAATAACAAGGGAAATGTCAGTTGAGGAGCCTTGGCTCATACATTTGCAACAGAGTCTGAAGTGGCTTTCCTGTAATCTGTTGTATTGGCTGAATATCTAAATTACCCCAGGCTACCCTTTCAGGAGCATTAGCCTATCCATATAAAACCCTTCATCATTTTTTGAAAAAGGATTTGTATCTGACTTGAGGGGGTGTTTTTCAGACAACTACATGGCAGGTTTGCTGCTGTCATCTTTCTCCACCTTGTGGCTTGTTTCCTTTACAGCAGTTTAGGTCGAATTCTTCCTGCAGTGTCATGTGTCACCGCCAGAGGTCAGTACGTAACATGAAAAGTCTTCATATGTGGACTACAGTTTATGAATGGTAGTCTTTGTGGACTTACTGTAAGCTTTGCATGCCATTTCTGCCCCATCTCTGCATCGGTTTGCATCTTAACTGTATGGATTGTGATCTCACACACACACACACACACACACACACACACACACACACACACACACAGTAATGTTAGATGCAGTTAAAAGCATGTGCACTCACATAATAGAACCACAGTCTGCACTTGCTTGGCACCCTATAACTCTACAGCATATAACATTTTTGACATCCTTCATTCTCTGTCAACAAGCATGGCATCACATGGAAGTAAATGTTTTTCTTTATTGGGGTCTTTACTGGGGTCTTGGATTGTATTTTTGCACTTAAGTCACAATGATGCAATCCTTCCAAACTATTACTCTTACTATAAATAGTTGACCATGAGCATGCTGTTATGTCTCGATGGCTGGTTATACAAATAGCACACCCAGCCACCGATAAGCGCTGCTTATTATGGCTGATCAGGTGAATTTGTAGCTATTCATTTACACATTTGTTTCCAGTCCTCTTATATAAGTTTCAAAATGTCCTCTATTGACTCATCATTTTGACAGTTTGAAACACTTTTTCCAAAGTAAATTTCCTTTCAGTTTTCTTTAAGTTTCAATATGTCTTGTTTTGGCTTTGTCCATATTTGCGAATTATTCGGCCATACACTTTTTTTAATGGAAAATACTATTTTTGGGTCCAGTCACTTTCTATCTGACTCAGAGTGAACATGAGCATCATCAAAGGACTATTGCAAGTTGCTTCATCAATAGCCTAGCTTTTATCATTTCAATCAGAAGATATTTCATTAGAATTTAACAATAATTTATTACACATGCATACAATTTGAACAGTGGGTAGACAATTAAGTCCCAATTGTAGCTGTCAGTACACAATGTAGGCTCTGCCTGATCCCCTTTTGCTTGGCCCCTACAACTGCAGCTTGGATCTGTGCGTCTAGTGGGATACGTGTAGAACGTAGTGCAGTGGTGCTGGAGCTAGCGGTGATTATGTGATTATGTGCTCAGGTGATACCTTCTTGTTTATGTCTCAGTGGGGAATTGCTGAAGTATCGCTGAGACAAACAGGGAGAGGGCTGGGAGATTGGTGAGCTTCAAGAGAAGGTTATGATGTGAAGTTTATGTTACAGCTCAGTTGTGAGACAGGCATGAGTGGCGGCAAGGTATACCAAGAGTTGTTTTAACACCCTACCCTGGAACAACCAAGAAAATTCCCGAGGAGATTAAGTCCACCTGTTCCATTTTCAGTTAGGCTTACTTTTGAATGCTATGCTCTTCTGCTGACCTGGTTCAACAGTGCCTCCACATCCCACATCCACATCGCCTACTGTATCTGCTGTATACAGGGATCCACCCCCATCTGTGTGTGAGTGTGACACGTGACGTACAACGCATGGGGTTTGTACAGGGTGTGCCTGACAATGTCAACGAGTTCAAATAGAATGAATAGTAGTAACAATAGTAGTCTACGTCACTGCAATCATCTAATGATATTCTGTTGTGTATGCAATGACAATGCAATTCGGACAATGTTTTGAGCCTCACAAGTGCATGACGATGCATGATGATGATATTGATGATGCCTCTAAACAACTTTCACACCTACTTTTAATGGAGAATTTGAGAGTGGGAGAGAGAAATACATTGTGAATATGCACCAAACATGACATAAGTTATTGAAGTTTTCTTTAAAGCTGAGAGCAGAAATGGTAAAGGTTTTGTTTTCTGGTTGTCCTGGTCTTATTCCTGAATATTTTTCTGTGCATTTGAGTGTGATTGATTCGGAAGGACGAGTTGACATTCTTGTCTTGATTAAGGAAAAGGCATCCATATCTAAACATTAAAGCAACAACAGCAGGGATGCTATTCATAAAACATCTTCTGTATGTGCTCCAGTGGATGTCAAGCAGACATTGACTTATGTCTCATGCAATAAATGCTTTTGTTTTGTTTCCCCTCCCTCCTCTGACCTTGGAATTCAATTGCAGGTGGATTCACGTGAGAGGTTAATGAGAGTTGTGTTGCGTTCATTTCAGCTCATTCAGTGTGGCTGTAACGCAACAAGGCTGTAAAGCCTTGTGCACAGCACACTGACTATAATCCTGCGGGCTTCATCATCATAACAAAGTACAAAAGTTTGACGCGCTTTTCCTCCCACAGCGTTGCCAACACCTGCGCAATAAATACATCAAAACGTGTGGCCTGATCAGGATGACTTTTCTCAGAGAATCGCCCAGCCGTTTTCCCGGGTGAACGGCGGTTTCGGCGTGAAGAGAGCTTCAATTTGGGCCCATAATGACTAGCCATACTTTTACACAGAAAAATGTTTTGAAGTTTAAAACATAGACAAAGTGCTGGACTTTATTGTGCCAAATGGGCAATTTGATAGCTAACACAGTTTTCATGAATTCTTCTTCTTGCAAAATTTTCTAGTATTAGAGTTATTATTACAAAAGTTTCAGACTTGAAAATAATGATGATATCAACTTCCAAGTCGTATATATAAGACTGGGAAACACTCATTTCCGCAAGTTGTTATTAACATGCAAATCTTTCCACCTCTATTTTCCATCCCATATGACATGATGATGAACTCATTATTATTGGTAATAACTGACTGACCACACCCTGCAGCAAAAGGGGGCATTTCCTGTTTGGCATCTTTATGTCTGTAAGACATTTTTCTGTTTTAGTTTAAGGCTACTTATTAACTCGTCAACACACACACACACACGCACAC